GAACTTTTGGGACATTTTAAGGTTTCAAAACAATGTGAAGGTGGAAAATATATTACATGTCTGGGTGTAGATATTGCAGCTTTGTGGAAACTAAGGAAGAGAATGAAAATAAGGTAAAGTTGCTTTTAAAATGATGCATCTGAGAAAAAATGGAATAGACAAATGAGGATACAGGAAGAAGCTGACTCTGAAAAAGATCGGGATTTTCTTCAGAATGACAAACCAGATACATATCCAAAGTAGTTATATCAAGCTCTTGAGACAACAGTGGAGGAACAACTGAATTCTTGTTTATTTTTAAATTATACATCTTATGGTGTAAATTTATAAGCATAAATCCTTAGTTCTGTAATGTGATTAGACTCGGTTACACTTCTATAAAGTATAACTATTAACACTACCTCACTACACTGTTGTAAATTTTAAGAGATTTATCTTGTGAAAAAAATTAATGTACTATTTAGCACATGATACCATACCAATTATTTGAATCATGATCCTAGTCTCTTGTTCACATTCCCCTTTCTGCTTTCCCCAAAGGGATATTCCCAACTAATGACAAAAAACACAATTAGATGTGCTTCCTGAGACAGCACCCACTGGGACTAGAGAATCCTCCAAGAGAGAAGCTGTTTGGATGGAAGAAGATATGATTTACCACCTGGAGCTAGGGGTGTGGAAGAAGGTTTCTTGGTATCATTTGGAGACATCACACTGCTCAGAATAGGAGATTCCAAAATGCATCTCAAGTCTTTCTCCTGTGGGGCTAGCCTGCTGTGAGGCAGTCTAGTGTATGGGAGCTAAAAGGCAGGACTTGCTCTCTGAGCCTCCTCAGGTCAGTGTGAGCCTCTTCAGGTGAGTGGAGAACCTCCCTTGACTGATCTGTTATGCTTTGGTTTACAGTAGAGATTTTGGAGGCAGCAATACCTGATTTTTCGGCTGAGCGATACCTGCTGCACAACCTGCCTTGAGCCCTGACTTTTTCTTCAGTGTTCAATATAGATTTACAGGTAAAAGGAGCCTGCCCTACTCTGCCCAAGGAATTTGGAAGGGTAAAATGGTTTGGAAGAGGGGTTGTACAGATACAGTGATTATTGTTTAGCAAACTATTTCTTATTCTATATTCATATTAGTGAGTGCCCCATAGTCTCTAAAGAGGTTCATCATTGTATGGGGAAAATAACGACAGATTAAGACTCACCATACTTGCTTTCTAATCCTGGTTCTGTGTGACTTCAAGAAAGTCACTTCACCTCTCTTGGTCTTTGCCTGATCTATAAAACAAAATCCATCAAGATCAAGTCTCCCCACCTCCCTCTCAAGTTCTAACAAGCAATATGGGTGTGTCCATATGTGTATTCTTACGTGGCAGTGTATGTATAAAGATGATATAAATGTATATGTGGTATGCATATCTATGAATTTGCATGCTATCTAAATATATACATATTTGTAATGTATGTGCATGCCTGATATATTTGTGAATATGGCCATTAATAGTAAATGTATGTGTAGTTTTAAATGTGTAAAATATGCATAATTATGTGTGAATGCTATAAAGCATACATGCATCTGCATATATGTAGTCATATATATGTTTGCGTGCAAGTATGTGCAAATGAATATGTGCGGTTGTTTATCGATGTATATCTATATGCACAGTCATGTGAGAATGGATCCATACATTCGTATCTAATTCAACAAATATCTTTTTGAAGTTTGAGTCTAAATCAGACCTTCCTTTTTAAGTTACAAACACGAACAAGAAAAAAAGAATCCATATCATCCCACCTTTTAAAGAAGCTAGTCACCTACTGGCAAGGCAGAAAAAAATCAACAAATCTATCAGGGATATCTCTCAGAATGGGGCAGACCAATGTAACCTCCTGGAGAGATTTTGTCTTTCTGGGCTTCTCCAGTTTTGGGGAGTTACAACTCCTGCTCTTTGCCTTGTTCCTCTTTCTGTACCTCTTCACCCTGACCAGCAATGTCTTCATTATCATAGTCACCAGGCTGGATAGCCATCTGCACACACCCATGTACCTCTTCCTTTCCTTCCTATCCTTCTCCGAGACCTGCTACACTTTGGGCATCATCCCTAGGATGCTCTCTGGCCTGGCTATGGGGGACCAGGCTATCTCCTATGTGGGCTGTGCTGCCCAGATGTTCTTCTCCGCCTCATGGGCCTGTACTAACTGCTTCCTTCTGGCTGCCATGGGTTTTGACAGATATGTAGCCATCTGTGCCCCACTGTACTATGCCAGCCGAATGAATCCCACCCTCTGTGCCCAGCTAGTTGGCACCTCCTTCCTGAGTGGATACTTCTTTGGACTGGGAATGACACTGGTTATTTTCCACCTCTCATTCTGCAGCTCCCATGAGATCCAGCACTTTTTTTGTGACATGCCACCTGTGCTGAGCCTAGCCTGTGGGGATACAGGCCTGAGTGAGCTGGGAATCCTCATCCTCAGTCTTTTGGTCCTCTTGGTCTCCTTCTTCTTCATCACCGTCTCCTACACCTTCATCTTGGTGGCAATACTGAAGATCCCCTCTGCTGAGGGGCAGAAGAAGGCCTTCTCCACTTGTGCCTCACACCTCACAGTGGTCATTATTCACTATGGCTGTGCCTCCTTCATGTACTTACGGCCCAAAGCCAGCTACTCTCTTGAGAGGGACCAGCTTATTGCCGTGACCTATACTGTAGTGACCCCTCTCCTCAACCCTGTTGTTTATAGTCTAAGGAATAGGGCTGTACAGACAGCTCTGAGGAATGTTTTCAGAGGGAGATTGCTGGGTAAAGGATGTAGGTTACCCTGATAGGACACTTTCTTCCGAAGAAACCAAGCCAAAGGGTCAGATATTCAAGGCCTCAGGCCGAAGCTCTTTTACCGCCAATCCTCTGGAAGAGCCTCATCCTGCCTGCTGCCCTTCCTTCCACGCTTCCTGCTCTGCTCACTGCACGCAAGTCAAAATGAGCCTCAAATGTGAATTTTAACTTTCAGCCTCCTAGATGTCACCCCTAGTTACTGAAACCCATTGAGAATTAAAAATTTAATTAAGTTAATTAAGAATTGTTTAATTGAGCTGAACAAAATAAAGGAAGTTTGGAGTGGTCAAGTTCAAGGCAGGGCTGCCAGGAGCCTATCAGGGATACTGTAGAGATTTCTAAAATCATTACATAATTAGACTATTTGACCTGTAATGTTCTTCCAAGACTTGAAACCTGGTGAATATCAGCTTGACAGGTTAGGTTAATGCTTTGTTAAATGAATAGGTGGATTATTCTTACTCCTACTGGGTGTCTTTTTATGTTTTTATATTTTAAAAATTTCAACTTTTATTTTATATACAGTGGGGTACATGTGCTTATAGGCTCGTCATTGTGCTGTTGACAGTAGCAAAGACATGAAATCATATTTTTATATGGTTGCCCCACTATCTCTATTACTTTACCCTTTTTGTTTTAGTTGATTTTCCAAGCAGGGTAGTATATCTTTCTGAAAATACATTTATTTCCTTTTTTTTTGAGAATTTTTAATGCTTTCTGGTAGCTTCAGAATCTTGCATGTCAGAGACCCACCTCATTTAGGTCATTCACTAAACTAGATACTGTCCTTTTGAATTTATTGCAGAACTATTTGTTCTGCCTATTTTACTTTCTACAAACAGTGTGTTATATATAGTGGCAGACATTATTAGAGAAAATGTAGTGAACTCTCAAGACTGTCAGGCAGGGGTTTGAATGGAAGCTCTTCAACTTACTAGCTGTGTAACTCTACGTAAGTTCTTTATCATTTTTCAGCTTCAAAGTTCTTATCTGTAAATGGTTGTAACTTCAGTTTTGTGTTGGTGACTAAACAGGATCATGAATACAAAGAACTTAGCACAACCCTTGGATCATAGCGATCTTCTAATAAGTTCCAGTTGCTGTTACTAAAATGTGTGAAGGAAAAAGGTATTGGCTTTTAGTTTAGGGAGAATCTAGGTGGAGGATCAGAGAAGACTTCATGTTTTAAAGAGTACTTGAACTTGTTCCTAAAGGATGAGTGAGCTTTGAATGCACTGACTGGAGAGAAAGTACATTCTCAGAAGAGAGAACATAACAGCCAAAGGCTTGATGGTAAGACAATACAGGCCTGTTTTAGAGTGTGTGAGTTGTTTAGAGGGGCTGGAAATGCCTCACGAATAATGCAGACAAGTTAGTTTGAATCAAGACTTACTTGTTGAAAGAATTTGAATATCTTGCTTCAGACATGGTCCTTTTGTCCATAGGAGGTAAGGCACAGTAAAACTGTGAGCAGAGAGTGGCATCTGGGAAGGGATTTAGGAAGATTAATCCAGCAGCAGAGGGGATAATAGATTTCAGCAGAGAGAAGCCAGAGGCAAGGAGATCAGCAAGAAACCCATTGCTATCAGCTTAAAGAAAGGCAGAAAGGCTTGAATATGGTTAGTCACACCAGAGACAGAAGGAAACCACAAACATAAGATTTTGAGAAGGTAGGATTCACAGGGTTTGGCAGTGGGATAGAAGTGAGGCATGGCTTGAGAGACAAGGGAAGAATTTAGGTTGAGAAGGTGTTTTTCAGATAGAAATCCACATTTTTCCATTGTCTCAGGAAAGAAACACATCCTCTAATAGAAATTTGATGAAAAAGAAATTTGAGAGGAAGGAAGCTAGATCTCAGAGAGGAGAACCAGGACAAAGAGAAGTAGGTGAATTAGCCAGGCAGCCAAAAGGGCCTCGTCAGGGGAGAAAGACCATCTGCTCTAGGGGTCTTTTCACTATAGGGAAAAGTAATCCTTCATTGCACTGAGGCCACGTGAGCAAATTCATTTCACCAATTCATTCAGTCCACTCAGCATAACATTGGATAAATGCACACTGACCAATGGTTGGTAAAGATGTTTCAAGAATTGCTAAGCAATACTTAAAGGTCTAATTTCCACACGTAGTAGTCTTAAGTATGTAAGGGTATAAAATCAGTTCGAGGGATTTTTTCCAAACAGGTGTTTCTGGGATCTATCTCTACAGACCTTGAAATAATTGATCTGGGATAGGGACAACATAGTCTTCAAAATCTTTGGTGAATCAAATTTTCTCCCTTGATTAAGTATGTGACTATGTGCTTAAAAAGGGCAAAGTCTTATTTCAGGTACACATGAACAGTAAAACAAAGGTCCTTCTGCTATGAACATGACCACATATGCCCAACTCCTGGTCCTTTGAAAGAGCCAATTAATACCAGAAACTCTGGAGTCAGACTTGTTAGGTTTTAAATCTAATCCTGACTAACTAAGAAGATAATTAGAAAGATAGGGCAAGGATTTCAGTTTAAAGTTGGTAGAAGGTCAAGAAAAGATAAGAATTAGGAGGCACTTAACTCTGAGAGGAAGAGGGAAATTTGATGCAAATTCTAATTATAATATTATATGTCAAACATTTATAACCCCTGCTAAATTATTTATGCAGATTGCAATATTATTACTACTTTTTACTTGAGTGCATAGGTGGACAGATCTGATTTCGGAAAAAGCTATATACAGTTATGACAGTTTCATCTGATGTTATTTTTATTTTGGTTTTCTAGCCTTTATATTAACCAATCTCTTTTTTAGGGTGAAGCTAATTATTCTTTGTCTTTAAGAGCATGATTTGACCCACTAAATGACTAATAATACTATTTAGGCTTTGAAAAATTTTGGCAGGCTTAGCATTGGGGGAATGAAACCACATCTGCCTTTGCTTATGATTATTTTCAGCACAAATAGTTTTAGACTATCCATATGTGGTAAGGGTGATATTAAACAATACTAATTTTTGATGGCCTATAACTTTTCTAACTGTGCTATTTTTGGTAACTCATAATAAGACAATTTAGACATTTATGAACATTAATTTTGAAAATACTTTCTGCTTGTTACATTCTGTAATATTTGACTATTTAAGAAAAGAATCACTAAAACACCTGTATATGTTGTTAGCATTAGTGATAACTTTTTATCTTTAACCAATTTTTTAAAAGGCTCCTGTGACAGCATTTACCCAGGACAGATTAATTTCCATGCCAAAGGAAGGGACTGGTACTTAAGATGGTAATCAAGTGGCAACATTAATGAATTGGTGAGTGGGAACTATTTGTGCAGAATGCTAGGAGTTTTATAACAGCAAGTAAATGATCTCAGATTTCTCACCAGCAAATGACACCATTACTGTTCATAAATCAATTCAGAATGTCAGCATGTAAATCTGTTCAGAGTAAACCTGGCCTGAAAGTTTCTGAAGATAGCATTACCTCTTCCTTTTTAAATTAATTCTTTAAATTAATTTAAAAAATAATTGTATTAACTATTACTTTAATAGGATATGGAAGTATTATTTTTATTACATTAAAACTTAAGAGAAAATGCAGGAGCCTGGAGGACACTAGAAAACCCTGCTTTGCTGGAATTTTGTCATTCTGAAAATAACAACATATACTATAATTTTGAAGTATGGAAAAAATAAGTTAAAAATAAAGCAGGTGTTATGCGGATCTGTGTGTTGTTTCATTGTGCAAACTAAAATACTGATGTTCCCCGGGATATCAAATACCTTCATTTTCAAATTTAAATTTGAATATATTCCAAAGTTTAAAAAATAATTTGCAAATTGCCTTGGATTTTATTTATCTACTCTACCATGGCCTTTCTTTACGGTACAATTAGCTGCCCACCCTTATATGAGTACATTTCCCAGAAATACAGAAGTTCAACATTTTACTTAACTTTTCCCCAAAAATATTTTTAAAAAGAAGTACTTTATTCTATTATCAGAATAAAACAAAAAATAATGATATGCAAAACAGAACAAATAAAAATAGAAACCTTGACGCCCCTCAGCAGTGACTAGTTGCGTACAAAATAGCTTCCACTCCTCCAACTCTATTAACCTATCACCCACCCTTGAGATTATTTAAGATCCTGCAATAAGTGTAATACACACACACATACACACACACACACACACGGCCATCTTTATCTTCCACATTTGCCTGTACTCTTCACCTCCCAGTAAATTTCTCATGACACTAAGATTTTCTTGATCCACGAGGAGCTGCTTATTAGTTGCCAAAGTAGGAGTTGGTGAAGCCAACGTAGTCGTAGCCAGAGTGATGGCTTCGACCCCGTGGGTCCATATATTGCTGCATATGTGTGGCACAGAATGACACTTGCTCGGGGGTAAGGGCCTGGAAAGCATAAAAAGAAAAATACAGTTACAGGGATTTGAAATAGCTGGTTCCTTGGGGCTTCCTGTATTATGCCCTAAATGCAGGAGATGGAGAGTCTCTGGAAAAAGCAAGCCCTGTTTCTATTACACATAATTTTTTTCTCATAAATTTATAATTTCTAATGAGTAACTTAACTTTTAAACTCAGCCTTTTCTTGAAAAAGAGAGCTTACTCACTTTGACTATTCTATGAATTCCATTCCCTAAGGTTGTTTTATTAAACAGAAGGGATAAGAAATAGCCTTAAAAACTGAGTTGCAGATTTTGAATTGACTCACAGATTCAATAAAGAACCACAGTACGTTTTTGAGTTGGGTCAAGACAAAATGAAGTGGTGACCAAAGCAAATTACAACTTGTGCAAGGGAAGATCTAAAAAAAAAAAAAATGTGGGTGGGTTTTTTCGAAGTAGGCCACCAGGCCTGAGATGTCCAAAATTCAGATTAGGATGACAGTATAGTAGTAGAAGCAACCAAAATCGGACCTGCTTCATGTCTTCTTTGGTAATATATGCCTTGCCCTCCGCCAGCGCTTGGAAAGCATTCTCTATTTCATCGCTGGACTTGATGTTTTCTGACTCCTTGTCAATCAGGAATGAGGTATAGTCCTCCAGTGAGACATAGCCCTTCCTGTGGGAGAAATGAATCAGGAGCTGTGCCTTCACAAGGCAGAGAAGGAAGCTCCCCCCCCCCCCCCCCCCCACCTTAAAAATGTACTCAGTGTCTCAGAAACAGAGGGAAGCCAGATATGCCAAGTGCCTCTTCCAGCTAAGCTTTCTGAGATGAGATGGGTTATGCTCTCCATTTTGGCTCCCCTTCATCACCCTCTTACAGCCAAATATACGCTCTTTACTAAGCTCCAGACTCTGTTTCGACATGGGTCATTCAGCCTGACTCTCAGTGAATTTTGAAATTTCCCATCAGCACCAGTCCTTAGGTACCTCAAATAATTTCTGGTCTTATTTGGGTTTTAGTATTAGCAAGAAGTAGTTCCTAACAGTAGCTTGATCTCTCGATGATTCTAACACATTCTCGTAAGCACACAACAAACCCCACCCCATGTGTTGGTCTCTGACTCACTTATGTCTCCTTAAGATCTCACATACATGAAGAGATTCTTCTCTCCAGTCTCATTCTCAAAAGCAGCTGAAATTCATAGACTGAACATAAATCATGAATTGGGGAAATTGCAAAGTTAGTTCTTGAGTTGAAGTTAGCACCATTTACTGCTGAGCTAATCTTGAAAGGGCACCAAGAGCTGCCTAATTCACTTACGGTTGTCTATTTCTTTCTATTTTCAGATGAGTTAATTTTATGTTTTACGGATCATTTTACTCTCTGTGATTCTTCCTCCAAACCCCAATCCCTGCTGTGGTCCGAACCTTGGTCCTCTTCCTACCTCCCTGGATCCACGGCATCCAGGAACTTCTCAAACTTGGGCTCAGGTTCACCCTCCTCCACCATAGGCAAGTAGTAATTGAGTCCTCTTAGGCAGGACCGGAACTCTTTGTGAGTCAAGCGCCCTGTCAAATTCTCATCAAAGTGTCTAAAGAATAAAAAAAGAAAAAAAATTATCAAGCTCAATAGAACAGAAAGGAACATGTCTGATTGTGTCAGCTGGAAACTTTATTGACCTGTCATAAAGCTGTCAGAGGACTGAATAGAAAGGCTGTTTGTGAGAGATCCAAGATGGCCAAATAGGAACAGCTCTGGAGTGCAGTTCCCAGTGAGAAGAATGCAGAGGGTGAGTGATCACAGCATTTCCAAATGAGTTTTTACTGCCCACAGACCAGGAGATTCCCAGGCTGAAAAGTGCCACGAGTTTCCAGCACTGCTGTTTCAGCTGGCGCTGCCGGTCTCTGCACAAAAACTCACACAAATCCGGGTGGCTGTTTCAACAGGTACCTGGAACGCCTGGGATACAGAGCCACCCATTCAACTGAAAAAAAGGGGGCTGAAACAGGGATCCAGGTGATCTGGCTCAGTGGGTCCCACCCCCCACAAAGACCAGCAATCTGAAATGCTCTGGATAGAGAGTTTCGTAGCAAGCACAGCAGGACCAGGGCTACTCCAGCTCAGTGGGGGGAAGGGCGTCAGCCATTACTGAGGCAGTCTACCACTACCAAGGCAGTCCACCATTACCGAGGCAGTCCAACATTACTGAGGCAGTCTGCCATTACCGAGGCGATCTGCCATTACTGAGGCAGACCACCATTACCAAGGCAGTTCTAACAGGAAGTTCACACAACAGCTATAACAGCAGCTCAGTAACGCCTCTGCTGGCAGACTGTGACTAGGCTACCACCTTGCTGGGCAGGGCATCTCTGAAAAAAGGCAACAGCATATCAGGAACTTATAAATAAAGCCCCACCTTCCCAGGACAGAGCACCTGAGGAAAAAGGCATTTATGAGTTCCCCTGCAGCAGACTAAACGTACCTGCCCAGAAGCTCTGAATGGAACAACAGAGCTCCCAGCTCAGCACTTGAGCTCCTATAAGGTATAGACTGTCTCCTCAAGCAGCTCTGAGAAGCTGTATATCCCTGAACCCTGTATATCCAAAGAGACACCTTGTAAAGGAGAGCTCAGGCTGACATCTGGTGGATACACTTCTAGGATGAGGATAACAGAAGAAGAAACTGGTAGCAACCCTCACTGTTTTGCAGCCTCTGTGGGTGACCCCCAGGCAAGGAGGGTCTGGAGTGGACCTCCAGCAGGCCTACAGCAGAGGGGCCTGGTGGTTGGAAGAAAAACTAAAAAGCAGGAAGAAATAAGGTCAGCATCAACAAAAAGGATATCCACTCAGAGACCCCCATCTAAAAGTCACCAATGACAAAGACCACAGGTAGATAAATCCATAAAGATGGGAAGAAACCAGTGCAAAAAGGATAAAAACACCAAAAACCAGAATTCCTGTCCTCCTCCAAGGGATCATAACTCCACACCAGGAAGGGAACAAAGCTGGATGGAGAATGAGTCTGATGAATTGGCAGAAACAGTCTTCAGAAGGTGGATAACAACAAATATCTCTGAGCTAAAAGCACATGTTCTAACCCAAAGCAAAGAAACTAAGAACCTTGAAAACAGGTTAGAAGAAATGCTAACAAGAATAAACAGCTTCAAGAAGAATATAAATGACCTGATAGAGATGAAAAACACAAGAACTTCACGAAGCAAACACAAGTTTCAGTAGCCAAATCAACCAAGCAGAAGAAAGTGTATCAGAGATTGAAGATCAACTCAATGAAATAAAATGAGAAGGCAAGATTAGAGAAAAAAATAGTGAAAAGAAATGAACAATCATGGGATTATGTGAAAAGACCTAATCTACACTTGATCAGTGTACCAGAAGATGACGGAGAGAATGAATCCAAGCTGGAAAACACTCTTCAGGATACTATCCATGAGAACTTCCCAACCTAGCAAGGCAGGCCAACATTCAAGTTCAGGAAATACAGAGAACACCACGAAGATATTCCTCAAGCAGAGAAACCACAAGGCACATAATTATCAGATTCACCAGGGTTGAAATGAAGGAAAAAATGCTAAGGGCAGCCAGAAAGAAAGGTCGAGTTACCCACAAAGGGAAGCCCATAAGACTCACAGAGGATCTCTCAGCAGAAACCCTACAAGCCAAAAGAGAGTGGGGGCCAATATTAAACATCCTTAAAAAAAGGACCTTGCAACCTAGAATTTCATATCCAGCCAAACTAAGATTCATAAGTGAAGAAGAAATAAAATCCTTTAGGAACAAACAATTGCTGAGAGATTTCATCACCACCAGGCCTGCCTTACAAGAGCTCCTGAAAGGAGCACTAAACACAGAAAGGAAAAGCCGGTACCAGCCACTCCAAAAACATACCAAATGTAAAGACCATAGACACAATGAAGAAATTATGCCAACCAAAGGGCAAAACAACTAACCAGTAATAAAATGGCAGGATCAAATTCACACATAACAATATTAACATTAAATGTCAACGGACTAAATGCCCCAATAAAAAGACACAGACTGGCAAATTGGATAAAAAGCCAAGAACCATCGGTGTGCTGTATTCAGGAAACCCATCTCATGTGCAAAGACACACATAGACTCAAAATAAAGGAATGGGAGAAGATTAACTAAGTAAATGGAGAGAAAAAAAATGCTGGGGTGGCAATCCTAGTCTCTGATAAAATGGACTTTAAACTAACAAAAATCAAAAGAGACAAAGAAGGGCATTATATAATAGTAAAAGGATCAATACAACAAGAGGAGCTAATGATCTTAAGCATATACGCACCCAATATAGGAGCACCTAAATACATAATGCAAGTTCTTAATGACCTACAAAGAGACTTAGACTTCCACACAATAATGGTGGGAGACTTTAACACTCCACTGTCAGTATTAGACAGATCAACGAGACAGAAAATCAACAAGGAAATCCAGGACTTGAATGCAGATCTGGACCAAGTAAACTTAATAGACATTTACAGAACTCTTAACCCCAAATCCACAGAATATACATTCTTCTCAGCACCACATCGCAATTACTCTAAAATCAATCAAATAATTGGGAGTAAATCACTCCTCAGCAAATGCAATAGAATGGAAATCATAACAAACAGTCTCTCAGACCACAGTGCAATCAAATTAAAACTTAGGATTAAGAAACTAACTCAAAACTGCACAACTTCATGGAAAATGAACAACTGGCTCCTGAATGTAGACTGGATAAATAATGAAATGAAGGCAGAAATAAAGATGTTCTTCAAAACCAATGAGAATGAAGACACAACGTACCGGATCCTATAGAACATATTTAAAGCAGTGTCTAGAGGGAAATTTATAGCAATAAATGCCCACATGAGAAACAGGGAAAGATCTAAAATCAACACCCTATCATCAAAATTAAAAGAGCTAGAGGAGCGAGATCAAAAAAACTCAAAAGATAGCAGAAGACAAGAAATAACTAAGATCAGAGCAGAACTGAAGGAGATGGAGACACACAAAACCCTTCAAAAAATCAACAAATCCAGGAGCTGGTTTTTTGAAAAGATCAACAAAATAGACTGCTAGACAGACTAATAAAAAAATAAAAGAGAGAAGAATCAAATAGACATAATAAAAAATGATAAAGGGGACATCTCCACCAATTCCACAGAAATACAAACTACCATCAGAGATTACTACAAAGAATTCTAGACACACAAAACAGTAAACATGGAAAGAATGGATAAATTCCTGGACACTTGCGTTCTCCCAAGACTAAAACAGGAAGAAGCTGAATCCCTGAATAGACCAGTAACAAGGGCTGAAGTTGAGGCATAAATTAGCAGCATATCAACTAAAAAAAGCCCAGGTCCAGATGGGTTTACAGCCGAATTCTACCAGACTTACAAAGAGGAGCTGATACCATTCCTTCTGAAACTCTTCCAAACAATACAAAAAGAGAGAATCCTCCCCAACTAATTTTATGAGATCAATACCATCCTAATACCAAAACCGGGCAGAGACGCAACTGAAAAAGAAAACTTCAGGCCAATATCCATGATGAAGATCGATGCAAAAATCTTCAACAAAATACTGGCAAACAGAATGTAACAGCAAATCAAAAAGCTTATTCATCATCATTAAGTAGGCTTCATCCCAGGGATGCAAGGCTGGTTCAACATACGCAAGTCTATAAATGCAATCCATCACATAAACAGGACCAAAGACAAAAACCACATGATTATCTCAATAGATGCAGAAAAGGCCTTCAACAAAATTCAACAGCACTTTATGCTAAAAACCCTCAATAAACTAGGCATCGATGGTATGTATCACAAAATAATAAAAGCTATTTACGACAAATCCACAGCCAATATCATACTGAACAGGAAAAACTGGAAGCATTACCTTTGAAATCTGGCATAAGACAAGCATGCCCTCTTTCACCACTCCTATTCAATGTAATATTGGAAGTTCTAGCCAGGGCAATCAGGCAAGAGAAAGAAGTAAAGAGTATTCAAATAGGAAGAGAGAAAGTCAAATTGTCTCTGTTCGCAGATGACATGATTGTATATTTAGAAGACTCCATTGTCTCAGCCCAAAATCTCCTGAAACTGATAAACAACTTCACCAAAGTCTCAGGATACAAAATCAATGTGCAGCAATCACAAGCATTCCTATACACCAATAACATACTAACAGAGAGCCAAATAAAAAGTGAACTCCCATTCACAATTGCTACAAAGAGAATAAAATACCTAGGAATACAACTATTAAAGGATGTAAAGGACCTCTTCAAGGAGAACTACAAACCACTGCTCAGGGAAATAAGAGAGGACACAAACAGATGGAAAAACATCCCATGCTCATGGTTGGGAAGAATCAACATAGTGAAAATGGTCATACTGCCCAAAGTAATTTATAGATTCAATGCTATCCCCATCAAGCTAACAATGACCTTCTTCACAGAACTGAAAAAAAAATCACCTTAAACTTCAGATGGAACCAAAAGAGAGCCCTCATAGCCAAAACAATCCTAAGCAAAAATAACAAAGCCAGAGCCATCACACTGCCTGACTTCAAACTATATTACAAGGCCACAGTAATCAAAAGAGCATGGTACTGGTAGCAAAACAGAGACATAGACCGATGGAACAGAATAGAGACCTCAGAAGCAACACCACACATCTACCATCATCTGATCTTTGACAAACCTGAGAAAAACAAGCAATGGGGAAAGGATTCCCTGTTTAATAAATGGTGTTGGGAAAACTCGTTAGCCCTGTGCAGAAAGCAAAAACTGGACCCCTTCCCGACACCTCACACTAAAATTAACTCCAGATGGATTAAAGATTTAAACATAAGACCTAACACCATAAAAACCCTAGAAGAAAACCTAGGCAAAACCATTCAGGACATAGGCACAGGCAAGGGCTTCATGACTAAAACACCAAAAGCAATGGCAACAAAAGCCAAAATAGACAAATTGGATCTAATTAAAGTCCACAGCTCTGTACAGCAAAGAAAAGAATCATTAGAGTGAACCAGCAACCAAAAGAATGGGAAAAAATTTTTGCAATCTACCTACCTGACAAAGGGCTAATACCCAGAATCTAGAAAGAACTAAAACAGATTTACCAGAAAAAAACAAACAAACCCATTCAAAAGTGGGCAAAGGATATGAACAGACACTTTACAAAAGAAGACATCGATGAGGCTCACAAACATATGAAAAATGCTCATTATCACTGGTCATTAGAGAAATGTAAATCAAAACCACATTGAGATACCATCTTATGCCAGTTAGAATGGCAATCATTAAAAAATCTGGAGACAACAGATGCTGGAGAGGATGTGGAGAAATAGGAACACTTTTACACTGTTGGTGGGAGTGCAAATTAGTTCAACCATTGTAGAAGACAGTGTGATGCTTCCTCAAGGACCTAGAAGTAGAAATTCCATTTGACCCAGCAATTCCATTACCGGGTATATACCCAAAGAATTATAAATTGTTCTATTATAAAGACACATGCACACATATATTCACCACAGCACTGTTTACAATAGCAAAGACCTGGAACCAACCCAAATGTCCATCATTGATAGACTGGATAGAGAAAATGTGGCACATATACACCATGAAATACTACGTAACCATAAAAAATGATGAGTTCATGTCCTTCATAGGGACATGGATTAATCTAGAAATCATCATTCTCAGCAAACTGACACAAGAACAGAAAACCAAACACCATATGTTATCACTCATAGGCGGGTGTTGAACAGTTAGAACACATGAACACAGGGAGGGATGCATCACACACTGCGGTCAGTGGTGGGGGGATGGCTAAGGGAGGGACTGTGGGGGTGGGGAAGGTGGTGAGGGATAATGAGGGGAGACATACCAGATATAGGAGATGGGGGGATGAAGGCAGCAGACCACCTTGCCATGTATGTACCTATGCAACAATCCTGCATGAGCTGCACATGTACCCCAGAAACTAAATTACAATTAAAAAAAATGGCGATATTTAAAAATCTGGAGACAACAGGTGTTGGAGAGGATGTGGAGAAACAGGAACACTTTTACACTGTTGGTGGGAGTGTAAATTAGTTCAACCATTGTGGAAGACATTGTGGTGATTCCTCAAGGACCTAGAAATAGAAATTCCATTTGACCCAGCAATCCCATTACTGGGTATATAGTCAAAAGATTATAAATTGTTCTATTATAAAGAAACATGCACACATATGCCCATTTCCGCACTGTTTACAATAGCAAAGACCTGGGACCAACCCAAATGTCCATCATTGATAGACTGGACAAGGAAAATGTGGCACATATACACCATGGAATACTATCAGCCATAAAAAATGATGAGTTCGTGTCCTTTGTAGGGACATGGATGAATCTGGAAACCATCATTCTCAGCAAACAGTCACAAGAACAGAATCACACACAGGGGTCTCTTTGGGGGGACTAGGGGAGGGAAAGTGGGGGATAGGGAGGTTGGGGAGGGATAACATGGGGAGAAATGCCAGATATAGGTGACAGGGGGATGGATACAGCAAACCACTTTGCCATTTATGTACCTATGCAACATGTACTCCAGAATCTGAAGTACAATTATCTATATATATATATGAAAGCCTGTTTGTGTCCCTGTACATTTTTTTAACCTAATGGATAGAGACAAAAGCATAAAATGTTAAGAATAAAGAAATGTATTTCTTGAATTCCCAAAATCTCATAGAAAGCCATGACTGGAGCCATGAACATCACTAGATCTTCATTTAAGATCCTACCAAGCCTCATAGCGTGACAGAAACATTATTTGTAGACTCATTCTGAAGAGTCTGAAAAACAAAGAAGCAGTAAACTATGAAATTACACTCACTTATAGATTGTGCTAAACTCCTTTAGAGTCTCTTCACTCACACCAATGGTGTCCCTGAAAGAAAAAAAAAACACAAATTTACCCTGTATATAAAACACAGAGTAGCAGAACACAAGCCATGGGAGAGGAAGAGAGAGGAATTTTAATGGACAATTTGCTAATTGAATCATCTAGTTCAGGAGTTGGCAAACTATAGTCCATGGGCCAAATCTAGCTGCCACCTGGTTTTGTACTGTCCAGGAACCAAGAGTAGTTTTTGCATTTTCATATGGTTGAAGATAATCAAAAGAAGAAAATTTTTTGAAACATGAAAATTATATAAAATTTAAATTTCAATGTCCATAAATAAAGTTTTATTGGAACATGGCCATGGTCATTCACTTATCATAGCTGCTTTTTCACTACAACAGCAGAGTCGAAGAGTTACAGCAGAAAATATACATGCTTCACAAAGCTAAATTATGTATTATCAGGCCATTCACAGAAAAAGTTTGCCAATTCTAATCTAGATAAAAATGTTGTCAAAAGCCTACTGAGACCTAGAGCTGCTTAGATATAATGAATTTATCTAGAAAATAATGAGTTTCTACCCCTCTGCTCTATTTGGCCACACTTTAAATGTTTCTTTTATTCTAGACATTATATTTTAGATAAAATTCTATGAAAGTAAGTGGTTTCCTAAGGGATCACAATTGAGAATCTAATTAAAATGTCACATAAGAGATCACATAAGATGGTGAAGGGACTCTGAGAAACTGGGTATAAAAGTCAGTTTTTGTCCAAATGAGTGATGAGTAGGCTCAGGTAGATGGAGAGCACTAACTTTTTTTTTCATGATGGATTTCAGTATAAAGAGAAATAGTCATTCCATGGGGCAGTAAAGACACAGACCTGTTTCTCTGAAGCAGCCTTTTTATCTGATGCACCAAACTCTAGCTCTTAATTAAGGTCCTAAAGCTAACACCACCTGCACCCCTCCCTTCCCTGGCCTCATGCTCTCAATACTTGGCCTGGATCTGTTGCTCCAGGTTGTGTTGCATCCGCAACCCAAGCTGGTAGAGTTGGTCCCACTGCTGGGCCAATCCAATGGTGCTGTATTTGATATCAAGGATCAGAGCGTCTTCCAAGTTGTCCCCCAGGTCCTCAATCTTGGTTAGTTGACGCTTCATTGCCTGGATCTCCTTCTGTTTTCTCTGGAAAAATGACAGAGGAGAGAGGCAGTCAGTTGCCCAGGTTACCAGCTCAAAACCTATAGGTGGAAGAGTAGATAACAGGCTGATTTTATTTTCAGGGATCTTCTTGTTCTCTGAAAAAATGAACTACTCAGGAAAACCACGTCACTTCTATAGTCTTCATTTATAAAATAATGGGAAGTTTAGGTGAATAATACTTGTCATTCTGGTATTCTGCAATATATAAATCTAAAGTAGTTACACACATACACACACACACACACATCGATATCTATATCCTATCATCTATCTATCTATCTATCTATCTATCTATCTGTCTATCTATCATCTATCAAGAGAGCCAATAAACAAGAATAGAATTTCCAGGGTCCATGCATCATCATCGGCTCTCAGTGCTCTACACTGGGACTTATCTGCAACACTGATTGTGGCTAAGCTCTCAGGCTCACTTAAGCTCAACAGTGTTGTTCACTCCGAACTGTTGTTCACTCATCAACTTGGGATGATGTTCATGGGCTGCTCCTGCCATCTACTCATGTTATATGCCAAATTTCTGCATCTTACCCTTGCTTTTTCAATGAGGGAAACTTGCTCCCCACAGAGGGTAGGTGTGAATTGATTCTGATGAGCACAGTGAAAAAAAATCTGGGATACAGCAAAGATTGTAACCCTTCAAAGGTCTAATTTGCCTGATATCTTTTTAAAAAAGTTTTAATTATATATAATAGATGTACACATTTCAGGGCATACATGACAATTTAATATGTTCATATAATTTGTAAAGATCACATCAGTATACATTGGATGTCTATTGCCTTAAGTATGTCTTTTCTTTACGCTAGAAACAATCAAATTATTTTCTTCTATTTTGAAATATACAAGATATTATTGTAAACTATATAGTCACCCTACTGATCTATCAAATACTAGTCTTATTTATTCTATCAAACTGTGTATTGATACCCAATAATCAACCTCTCTTCATTCCCCTTTCTCCCCCTACTTTTCCTATCCTCTAGAAACCTCCAATGTACTCTCTATCTTTATGAGATCCATTTTTTTAGCTCCCACTTATGAGTGAAAACATACAATACTTGTCTTACTGTGCTTGGCTTCTTTCACTTAACATAATGACATTCATTTCCATCCATGTTGCTGCAATTGTCAGAATTTTATTTCTTTAATGGATAAATAATATTCCATTGTATATACCATGTTTTCTTTATCAGTTAATCCATTGATGGGCATTTAGGTTGATTCCATATTTTGGCTGTTGTAACTAGTGGTGTTATAAACATTGGAGTGCAGGTATTTCTCTGATATGTTAATTTCCTTTCTTTTAGATATATACCCCGTAATGGGACTCATGAATCACATGGTATTTCTCTTTTCAGTTTTTTTCCTTTGAGATGGAGTCTCGCTCTGTCACCAGGCTGGAGTGCAGTAGCAAGATTTCGGCTCACTGCAACCTGCGCCTTCTGTGTTCAAGCGATCCTCCTGCCTCAGCCTCCCAAGTAGCTGGGACTACAGATGTCCATCACCATACCCAGCCAATTTTTGTATTTTTCGTAGAGATGGGGTTTCACCATGCTGGCCAAGATGGTCTTGATCTCTGGACCTCATAATCTGCCCACCTCAGCCTCCCAAAGTGCAGGGATTACAGGTGCCCAGCCTCTCTTTTTAGTTTTTTGAGGAATTTCCATCCTGTTTTCCACAGTGGCTATACTATTTCTACTTTCTCTACATCCTCACCAGTATCCCCTATTCCTTGTCTTTTTGATAAAAGCCACTTTAACTCAGGTGAGATGACAGTCAAAACTACCTGACATCTTGCTCTTTAGTATTTCATTTTTTTGTTAGAAAATAATTAAATGTAATTACTTGATTTTTTTTTTTACATTTGCTCTTCTACTTCATCATTATGTTCCAAATCCTTTGCAGTCACAAAACATGAACCTGTCCTCCCACTGTTCCCGAAGCCTCTCCCACTCTGGGCAGCTCAGAGTCTTCCATAAAATTATTTCTTTAAGGAAAACAATGACTCTACAATGGGTATTAGCTCTAGTGTGTAGATTCAGAAATTGAATTTCAGATATTTAAGTAGAATGAGGTTTATATTCACAATGTGGTGGCCTATGGTTAAAATGCAAATTGATGGTAGAATCAGAACTACAGCCTTAGCTTTCTGACTTTAGGTGATATATACCTAAAAGTATTACCTGGGCTGCCCTTAACTGACTATTTTTGCATTCTTTATAATTTTAACAATATCTTCAGCTAATGAAAACACAACACTTACTTTATTTGCTTCCAGCTGGGATTCCAGAGTTCCTGTTTCTTTGAGCAATGATCTAGTTAAGAACCAAAGGAAAACATGATGCATCACATCACAGGTCAATATTTCATACATGCATACCAACTCAAAGCTCCTCTGCTTCAACTTCTCCAAGGTTATGTGGCTTCCATGACGCAACGTTTCATAGAGCCAAATTTTCACAACCTTGCCAGACTGACCAGAAGGGAAGACTTTCCCGAGTTCTCCGACTAGGAGAAGGGATTTACATATCCCTCTTAATTATTCTTTGTAAACACACACTTAAGCAATGTAGGCAAGATTCCATTTACTGAAGTGTAAGGGCAGAATAAAATATAATGAGCTTTTCTTTTTCACTCCACATTTTTATTTACATACTAACAGATTACAGTGGAATGAAAATGTCTCAGCACTAAGTCCTTCTTAATGAATTCTTACAGAAAAATATAATAAGACAAACTTGATGATAACATAAAATACTGACCCATCCAGAAAGTAAGCCCTGGACGTGGAGGTCCGGAACAGGAATCACATGAGAGAAAAGGGAGATATGTTAAAATTGATTACTTTAATGATCTCATTTCCTCAGATTTATGAAACATTTTAAATCTTTTATAGCCACAAAGCATGAACCTGACCACCCACTGGTTCCCAAGGCTTCCCCGACTCTGAGATCAGAGTTTCCCATAAAGCTCCTTGCTTCAGGACAAAGAGCACCAACGTCAAGCAAAATGCTTGGTGTTGGACACACACAGCCAGGATGTGATGAAGTCACCAAGAAAAGTGGAAGAGGAGGGTGTTCTGTGCCTTCTCTGCCTTCTGTCAGATGGCTTAGACATGGTACATGATTTCTTTTTGTTCATTTATCCTTGTCAGTGACAATGTAGGAAAGTATATATCATGAATTGTCTAAACCACTACATTAACCCTCAGAACACCACAGTTTTGACCCCCCACAGGTTACTATCTACCAACTGTGACCACGTATTCTAACATATTACATCTTCTAAGTCTCCTTTTTCTAGGTCATTTACCCCAGAAGATGTGACATATGTTATCTTCAGGTACAGAAGAATTTGTTGTTAATAAGCACAATTAACATATTATCTCACTTGATTCTTATTACAATTTTAGTAGGTACACAACAGAATAGCTTCATATGAGGTATTCATAGAAAGTTCTGCTTTTGGTTGTGGTAGTAAATACATATGTGACCTTGAGCAAGTAAATTTATCCACTTGAACTTTCCACACTTGGAAACAGATCTAATAAGATCTGCTTTGTATGCTTTTCAAGGTTGTTCTGACAGTTAGGCGAGGTAATGGATATGGAAGTACTCTGTAAAGTGCAATGTGGCATGCAGATATAATAAGTTATTTTGGACTGAAATTATAGGCAACAGAAAGTTGAGAGTATCAAGGAGAGAATACAGAAGTGTACATAATGAGCATCAGGATGAAATTGTCATTTCTTGGTTTTCTAAGGATTGATTCAGAAAACAGTCAACTCCAAATATAAAGCATAGGCAAGATACAGTGATTTGAGGGCAGAATACACACTGTAGGAATCTCTCCTCTTCCCTTCAAATGCGTATTTTATCCCTATGGCAAATGGTGTGTAGCGTAGGGGTGATGGTTTGGGATGTAGCATAGCACACCTGGTTTCCAGGATCCATTGAAGGAAGGCACTAGCATTCTGTTCAAACTCCTGACACATCTCAAAGTTCTTGACCTGTCTTGCCTCTTCCTTTTGCAGCTCCTGCTCCCGTTCCTAAAACACCAAATCACAGACAATGTGACTGACACTGAAGGCCTTTCTTTGCTGTTAGAGAACTTGCTGGTAGTCTCAGCTGCATATCTTCCCTCCCTCAAGTCTAACCTGGCTTCTGCAGGTGTGTGCCTAAGTGCTCATATTCCATGCAGTTCATCTCTCTCACCTCTAAAATGTAAAGATAGCTTATGTACTTCCCAAGAGTACTTGCAGCATTCTCTAAGACCAAGCTCTGTAACAAGTAAGTTAGTAATAAAGGCAAATCTCCCTTCTTTATAATTTTTTTTGGTGAAATTTAATTTAAATGAACATAAAAGCAGCCTTAAAGGGCTTGCTACCCTTAGAAACGATAGTTGTCATCTAAAAATGGTGACATTATAGTCTTTCATTACATTTTTTTATGTTTTATAGTTTCAGTAATGAGCATTATTATACACAGACAAAAATTAAAAATACATACATAGCAAGGCACTTTTGGAGGTGTATATAAAAAAGAAAATATCTTGAATGGGGGGTTATGTAGACTCTGAATACATGCACAAACCTCATGAGCTTCTCACAGCTCATCATTAGAACCATGTCTCAGGGCTTCTGTTTGCTTCTCAAAATTATTGTTCAACACTCAGAAGCAGGAAACTGCTCAAATTATGGGGCATAGAGTATACCTATTGTGAACATATTTTTCAATTTTTCTTAGTCATGTTTTATGACTACTGTCCCAGTATAATTATTAATAATGCTCTTTCTATCTCAAAAGTCTCTTAACTTGGATAATAAAGTGGTTATGTTCACTGTAGCCAAAGGAAGTTTCTGTCATGTTCCAGGTTACCTCGATGATGTCAGATAGGTGCTTCCAGATCCTCTCCAGCGCCTCCACTGTTAACCAGGTATAAGGGCTAGAAGGCACACCTAAGGCCTTAATCTGGTGGTCTAGCTCCAGCAAATATTTAAAGTCTGCTTGAGCCCCAGCCAAGGAGGCCAAGAAATCCTCATGGTCTTTCTGCAGCTGCCGAATTTCATTCAGAGAGACACAGTGCACAGGCTCTGACAAGTTTTCTTCTGCCTTTTCACACCAGTTGTTGAAAGCTGAAGCCTTATGTGCAAATTCCATGAACAGCTCCTCAGCCTGCAGAGACAGAGAGAAAAAAGACATTACCATCTTTCCTGATAGAGCCTCCTAGCAGAAGAGAAGATTGAGGATAAACACAATGCCTGTCTTTAAATATCTGCAGGCCAGGAATCTAAAAGGGCAGAACAAAAACCAATAGGGTCTATGTACTTTGATCGGTGAACATGTGAGTTAGAGGTACAAGCCCTGGTTCTGGCATTTCTCATTATGTGAAATTGTTTAAATCTTCTATCATTTACAAATGAGGGGGTCAAATGATTTCTGAAGTTATTTCAGTTTTAAAATTCCAAAAGTGGCAAAGGTCATTTTCAATTATACGGTTTCTTATTCTAAAGTCTATGCTCCAATTCTACCTGGTAGGTAGTAAATATTAAAAAAAAAAAGGCATTGGATGAATGGATGAAATAATAATAAATAAACCAAGAAAATCTGTTGTCTCCTTTATCCGACAAAATTCTGTAGACCACACCCAGCTGACTTCTCTTTGACAAGGCTAGATCATTTTCCTAACTTCCTTTTAAACCTTGTTCAGGCCCTATTTCATGGCGAAAGCTTTCCAAACCACTGCTTAAACTCACTTTCTACCCTCCAACCTGTATCCTTAGCACAAATATATGCATCATTGTATTACTGTCTGGAGTTATCCACGTGCTCTGAATAGCTCTGAATTTTCTGTATTACTGAATGACAGAAAAAAACTTTTTTTTTTTTCCAAACAGCAAGTGATTGAAAATACTTTTACACTTAAAATATAACACAGATTTTGGGATAGCAGATTGTACTTCTAAAGAGGTTTGTCTTGAGCAAACATGAAAATGAATTTTTCATTCTCAAATAAAAGAATTAAAAAGAAGAAAACTGCCCAAACTCCTTGCAGTTTGAAATTTTAAAAAAAGATTAAAAATATGATGGAGTGTCCCATGTAGAAGGCACATATATATGTAAAGTTTCCCACTTAACTGATTTAATTTTTCACCTAAGATTTATTTTTGTAGGTCCTATGTTTTTCAAAAGTGGAGAAATTAACTAAGAATCTAACCTGACTTTTACTCATGTGTTATTTCCTAAATTCTCTAACTCCTTGACTTAATTTGTTACCAAGTACAATGTTTCTTAGGGTCTAGGAGTGCTCAGTAATTCCACTGACCATTCTGAGTTCCTTTTATTATTGATATTTTTATGATCAATATCCAATGCCTTAGTAGCTGATATTTTTATGATCAATATCCAATGCCTTAGCAGCCAAGATTTGAAGGAAAATTTTAATCACATATTTATATGGAACTTAGGCGTTTATATTGCACTTTTAGATCCATTATCTTTTTTAATAGTAATAACACAGAAAGGCAGGATAGGATGGTGATATACTCTATTTTCTAAATGGGATACAAAGGTTTGGGATGTTAAGTGACTTTTACAAGGTCTTCAACCTAGGAAAGCTTGATATCAGTTGAGAACATGTTTTATGACAACTTGTCCAATGCTCCTTTTATTTGGGTTAGGAAAAACACAGGGACAACCTTGACTTTTGCCTGATAGTTTTAATTCTATCATATACAAAGACCTCCCACCCTCTTGTTCCATCCACCTCTCCTACTCTATTTGCCTGGCTTCCATCTCAAGTTAGTTATGTAGCTAATCAATCAATCTAAAAAATTTTCTTAAAGCTTCTTTTCAATCTACTTTTTGCTCAGTAAGAATATCTTCTCAACCTCTTTCAATGCAATAAAAGATTTGTGTATTATCCAGAGTTTCCAATATCAGTTTCTGAATTTCATGGCTAATATGCAGATGACAGAGAATCGATCATGCCTCATTTTTTTTTAAACCTTTTGTAGAGGCAGCTGTTTCTCCATCAATTTCTGTCTGTGGACTGCAGAGGCTTCTAGCAACTGTTCCCAGCGCTTCAGCAGGGCAGCATAACGCTCTTCAATGGCTTTAGACTGGCTGTGTTGAGCAGCAATCAGTTGATCCTTCAGGTCAGCGATCTCAGAAAGTCTCTCTTGCTGAAAACTCTGTAGACTGGCATCCAAAGTGTCCTGAGAAAGATCAGGAGAGGGGCTATGAACAGGAAAATGGTGCAGGGGTCATTCACATCTGGATTCCACCAGATTTTAATTATAGATAAGGCAAGAATTAAGATGATGATTAAGAAAAAGGAAACATAACTTAGAGATGTATGCAAACATTTGGGGCTGAAAGCTCCAGTTTATGTGTATTTTACTGTTAGATTTTATGTTATATATATGATTAACTGATATGGTTTGGCTGTGTCCCCACCCAAATCTCATCTTGAATTGTAGTTCCTGTAGTCCCTACATGTCGTGGGAGGGAGACAGTTGGAGGTAATTTAATAATGGGGGCAGCTACCCTCATGCTGTTCTTATGACAGTGAGTTTGTTCTCACAGATCTGATGGTTTTATAAGGGACTTTTCCTCCTTTTGCTCAACACTTCTTCCTGCTGCCATGTGAAGAAGGACATGTTTGCTTCCCCTTCTGCCGTGATTGTAAGTTTCCTGAGGCCTCCCCAGCCATGCTGAAATGTGTCAATTAAACCTCTATTTTTCATAAGTTACCCGGTGTTGGGTATGTCTTTATAAGCAGTGTGAGAACAGACTAATACAGTACACTGGTACAGCAGAGAATGGGGTGCTGCTATAAAGATACCTGAAAACGTGGAAGCGACTTTGAAACTGCCTAACAAGCAGAGCTTGGAACAGTGTGGCAGGCTCAGAGGAAGACAGAAATATGTATGAAGATTTGGAACTTCCTAGAGATGTGGAGGGCTCAGAAGACAGGAAGATGTGGTAAAATTTGGAATTTCCTAGACACTTGTCAAATGGCTTTGACCAAATTGCTGATAGTGATATGGACAATGAAGTACAGGGTGTGGTGCTCTCAGATGGAGATGAGGAACTTGTTGGGAGCTGAAATAAAGGTGTTTCCTGCTAGGCTTCAGCAAAGAGACTGGCAGCATTTTGCCCCTGCCCTAGAGATCTGTGGAACTTTGAACTTGAGAGAGATTATTTAGGGTATCTGGCAGGAGAAATTTCTAAGCAGCAAAGCATTCAATAGGAAGCAGAACGTAAGAGTTTGAAAAGTTTGTAGCCTGACAATGCAATAGAAAAGCAAAACCTATTTTCTGGGGAGAAACTCAAGCTAGCTGCAGAAATTTGCATAAGTAACAAGTAGCTGAAGGTTTATCACCAGGACAAGGGATGAGAGGAGAAATGCCTCCAGGGCATGTCAGAAAGCTCCATGGTAGCCCCTCCCATCACAGGCTGCAAGGCTTAGGAGGGGAAAATGGTTTCCTGGGATGGGTCCAGGGCCCTCTACTTTTTGCAGCCTAGTGACTTGGTGCTCTGCATTCAGCTGTTTTAGCCATAGCTAAAAGGGGCCAAGGTACAACTCAGGCCATGGCTTCAGAGGGTGCAAGCTTCAAGCCTTGGCAGCTTCCATGTGGTGTTGAGCCTTCAGGTGCACAGAAGTCAAGAATTGAGGTTTGGGACCCTCTTAGATTTCAGAGGATGTGTGGAAACACCTAGATGTTCAGGCAGAAGTCTGCTTCAGGGGCAGAGTCCTCATGGAGAATCTCTGTTAGGGCAGCACAGAAGGGAAACATGGGGTTGGAGCCCCCCACAGGGGTACTACCTAGTGGAGCTGTGAGAAAAGGGCCACTGTCCTCCGGACTGCAGAATGGTAGATCCACCAACACCTTGCACTATGCTCCTGGAAAAGCTGCAGACACTCAATGCCAGCCATTGAAAACAGCTGGGACGGGGACTGTACCCTGCAAAGCCACAGGGGTGGAGCTGTCCGAGGCTATGGGAGCCCACCTCTTGCATCATTGTGTCTGGATGTGGGACATGGAGTCAAAAGAGATCATTTTGGAACTTCAAAGTTTAATGATTGCCATATTGGATTTCAGACTTGCATGAGGCCTGTAGCCCCTTTGTTTTGGCCAATTTATCCCATTTGGAAATAGGGTATTTACCCAAAGCATGTACCTCCATTGTATTAAGGAAGTAACTAACTTGTTTTTGATTTTACAGAATCATGGACAGAGGGGATTTACCTTATCTCAGAAACTTTGAACCTAGACTTTTGAGTTAATGCTGGAATAAGTTAAGACTTTGGGAGACTGTTGGAAGGGCATAACTGTGTTTTGAAATGTGAGGAAATGAGATTTGGGAGGGACCAGTGGTGGAATAATATGGTTTGGCTGTCTCTCCACCCAAATCTCATCTTGAATTGTAGTTCTCATAGTCCCTACATGTCACAGGAGGGACTCAGTGTGAGATAATTTAATCATGAGGGCAGTTACCCTCGTGCTTTTCTTATGACTGTGAGTGAGTTCTCATGAGATCTGACGGTTTTATAATGGGCTTTTCCTCCTTTGGCTTGGCACTTCTCCTTCCTACCACCATGTGAAGAAGGATGTGTTTGTTTCCCCTTCTGCCATGATTGTTAAGTATCCTGAAGCCTCCCCAGCCATGCTGAACTGTGAGTCAATTAAACTTCTATTCTTTATAAATTACCCAGTCTTGGGATGTCTTCATTAGCAGAATGATAATGGACTAATACATTAATATTAAGGAAATACTGGAGTATGATATGACATTCTAAATTTTCACAATAAAAACCAAATATTTCCTACAGCACATACCTTTCCAAGATTCTCTTATATTACTTACTACATTCTTCATTCTAATTAGTAGCAGTGTACTACTAGGGATCTTGGAAGTACACAAACTAACAAAAGACCTCCTAGATGTGCCAATTATACCAACATATTTTTTTTTGCAGAAATGTTGGTATCAAAATCACACAATATTTGGGAAGCTCCGCTTTCAGTTTTGATAGAGTGGCTTGTATTTGAGGATAACTTTATTAACAGCTTGATAAAGGTACAAAAAGTCAGCTGTTTGAAATGGATCAGAATGAAACCCAGGTAGCTACAGCTCAAGGGACTAAAATTCCAGACAGAAGGGAACAGCACTGAAGTGAGAATAATAGCCTCTCCGAATTTCCCTTTGAAGTATAAGCTGTATAAGTTCTTATACATTGAAGTATTAGAGGCTGAGGAGTAAGCATTGCTCAGAGCATTTGACAATCTCATGGAGATAAAGAGATGTAAATTGGCATGATAGGGAACTGTGACAGCCAGGATTTGAGAAGCTATAACACGGAAACTGCAGAAAAATAGTGAATATCCTGTTGTCTTTTCCCCTCAAAGCATTGCAGATGCCAAAACTCTATAGGATACAAGTCCTAGAAGCCAAGCGGAAATGGCAGCTAAAAATGTAAGATCCTAACTAGAGTTTTCAGTAGTGACACAGTGCTGACTTCAGGACCCATCAAGCAGAAGCAGCCCTGGTTAAAGGGCTTCCATTGAAATGCCTGAAAGTCCATAGGGGCAAAGTGAAAAAGTGAGTACTCAAAGAAATCGAAACTATGTCCTGAATCATTTCAATCCCTGACCAAAAAGTAGGAGGTTGGATGGCAGAAGGTGTTTAGTTATAGCTTTAAACCAAAATTCATGAGTTAATTGTAATACTTTAAATATCAACAGACTCACCTTCCATAAATTTATCAAATTAGAGAAAGTAATACCCAACTACATAATATTTATAAAAGACACATACAAAACATAGACACAAAAATGTTTTTTAAAGCCCTAAAGGTGGAAGTAGTTATTTCTGCAGACACTAAAAAATGTTAGCACAGTATACTAGTATCTGAAAAAGTAGACTTTAACTCAAGAAATATAACTCAAGATAAAGAGGAACATTTTATAATTAAAAGTATCAATTCAATAAGATAATTTCACAATTCAAAATGTCAACACAACTTTTAGCCTAACCTCAAAATTTATAAAAAAGTATTTAAACAACATGATTAAAAATGAAAATCTGGTTGGCAATATAAAACACTGGAAAATACACATCCTTTTCAAATGTACATACAATATACAATGAAATAAACAATTGCTAGATATAGATCAAGTTTCTGAATAATATAGAATATGTTTTTAAAATATAGTGGAATTAAAAATAGATATAAATGTCAAACAGATAATGAGAAAAGCTCCAAATATTTGAAATTAAACAATTTACTATCAAATGATAAAGGGATAATAGAAAAAAAATCAAATACGAAATCTCAGAAAAAAATTTAACTAAATGATAAAAGAAATGACAAAATTTGTGGAATGCAGCTAAAGCTTTGCTATGGAAAAAAAATATTAAAATTGATATATTAGAAAAGATAAAAGGCTAAAATTTTGATAATCGAATTATCCATTTCAAGAAATTAAAAGAAAACATCAAAATAATCCCAAATAAAGCAAAAAAAATGATAATAATATAAAAAGCTATTAATGGAATAGAATACACAAAAAAGAGACAAATTAAAAGCTGAAAGTTGATTCTCTAAAAACAAAATGTTGAAAACCCAGTAGCAAGACTCATGAGAGGGAGAGGATAAAATAATAATGAGGAAATTATTAACATTAAGAAGGGACAATCTTACAGATGCTACACACAACAGAGTCCAAAAATTCAGAAATACATAATCATGGAGGATGAACTTCTATGCGAATCAGGTCTTGGCCTTACCCAACATCTATCAGTCTCACCTGTTTTGCCAGGAGTGTGAGGAAGTCACCAAGATCTGCACCATTGCCATTGGTCTTCAGGCTTGTTTCCTTATCAGCTAAAAGGCAAAAATAATTAAGAAGAGAAAGAAAGTTGGTCTTGTTTGAGTCATGGTAAGGAGAAAGAGAATATTTATAATGCACAAGAAAGCTTCTTGACTCTTAGAGTTAATGATTCATTAGAATATGTGAGCAGTGGGGACCAATGGATCGTTTTCTACTCAGGCGGGATAAAACTTAATGAAACAGAGCTAGGGTCATGAGAGTTTTTGAGTACTTCATAGAAAAAAAAGAGAGAAATCGTAAATTAGATATAAATTTTAAGTAAATCAAACAAACATTTTAGATTATTTCTTAGAACAATTTGCTATGGCTTTCCCTTTCTGAATATCACACACAAAATCTCCAATTCCCCAAAAATGTGTTCTCTGGAGTTACGGTACATAGTTACTGCATCAGCATAGTTCTCTCTCTCAGTGTGTGTGTGCGCGCACGTGTGTGTGTGCACACGCATGTGCGTGTGTGCGCATGCACACAAATGTAAGTGCAATTCTGGCCAGAAAGGATAGGAATGGGTAGTGATGGAAACACCTCTTTTCATATGGACCACTGTACACATGGGATTTATTAGGATCTCTCAAACCCAAGGGACCCTGGACCTGACACATTATACCTATCCAGGCCTCTACCACATCAGCCTTCCAGTTGAATTCCTGAAAGGCATAATCATCTTCCAATTGCAACTTCCAAGCAGCTATTGCCTTGGCTAGAGAAGGGGTCTTTTCATTGAGAGCCTCTATCTTGGAAGAAATCTCTTTGTTCTGACTTTCCTCCTGTAAAACCTGTGAGAAGGAGAGAGACAAATATATTTATGAATGTGCAGGGCTAGAAATGTGAATCCTTTAGTACCAATAGAAAGCACTCATCTCTCTCATTTCAATTATATAACCACAGTCCTCTGGTCTAATGTAATTATTTTATTATTCTTTCACGTCTAAGAAGGTTATTTCCATTCCAGCATTTAGATAATCTTCTCACGTATTTCTGTATAAGTGTGACCTTCTTAGCTGGTAAAAGTTTCTAGAAGGTAGGGAGTCATCTCTGTTCTGCTTAATGGTCTTAATAGCAGTTAGATCAATGAGGGTTTATTTAAAAAGCTACATTTAAACAAAGAAATAATTCTCAAATTTAAAAGAAGTTTCAGTGTGGTTTCCCTCCTAGAGGCTTAGAAAGAAATTTCTTCAAATTATTATAACATTCTATGACCAAAGCTAGTGACAAGACTTTTATAAACACCATGTTCTGTTTAAGACAAGAATGTCAACAAAGGATTTAAGGAAAACTAAAATGTGTATGCATACAAACTTGAAAAAAGACTTACAGCAATTGAGTAGGTAATTGTTTCCTAACCACCACCACAACAAAACGCAGTTTAGAAGAGACTGTTAAAGTTCTGCATATGACATTAGCACTGTTCATGTTTCTCTATTTGGGCCAGTCCCTTTTGGAAAATGGAAGTTTGCGTTGGAATTCCTTAACTAGCTCACCTTATTTAGGATGTCTTCTCCTTGTGCACACACATTTTGTACTCGGGTCTCATGGACAGCAAAGTCGTTTTCCAAAGCTTCATGCTTCTTTAGCAAGCTCTGCATAAATGAATCAGTGAGAATCAAGGTACCCAAAGCTAGAAAATCTATTTTCACCCATATTCAGAACAACTATACTCAATTGCTTTCTCAAATTCTCACTTATCAATGACTGCAACTTACCAGAAAAAAGAGTTAAAGGTATACAAGTGACACTCTAACTTAGTATGTGACTGTTATCTTATTTTGATTTTGGAATGAGCATTTTGACTGAAGTCATATATAGAGATTCCTTCATATTGACATTTATCTAATTCAATGAAACAATGTGTCTAGCAGAAAAAAAAATAGTAACAATAACATTGTAAACTAAGCCCCAATCCTAAAGAGAGGGAATGAGAACATGGAGCTGCCACTGACTATCACTCCAACTCTTCTCTGACTGCTTTCCGGAAACACGATGTCTATAAAGCTGGCAGAATGAAAAGAGAAGTGAGGCTGAAGCATGAAGAGTGGTACTTTGTCTTCTGTTGTACTTTCCAGAGAAATATCTATATAAGCCCAACATCACCATCACCATGAGCACCCATCACTGCCACTGCTCCCACTGCTGCTTTCATCTCCCTCTTAGCATAAAAGCACTCTGTCAGTTTTTTTCTGTACAACATAGTAACTCAGACTAAAGGAAGAAACAATTTCTATGACTATTATTATGCTTTTTCAAAATCCCTTTTGAAAATAAAAGAACTTTCAGCTCATGATGTTGAGGCACTAAAATAAGATGGTTACTCATTGTAAAATGAGATGAAGTACATTATATGTTATAACTGTATTATATTTCATAGTTTTGAAGAAACTGTAAATTAATATTGAAAAGGCAATTGACTTTGTATGACTGAATGCCTGAATGAATCACATTTTTATATATGTAGACCGCAAGAAATAAAGTATTTTTAACATCTTCACATTCACCTTCTATTTTCAAATAACAAATTAAAAAATAAAAGAAACAATAGAACCAATGTCAAAGAAATAAAAGGGATCACAAAAAACTATTACAAACAATTATATACCAATAAACTAGAAAATCTAGAGAAAATAGATAATTCCTAGAAACAGACAACTTACCAAGACTAAATCATGAAGAAAGTCCAAATAAATCTGTAACTAGTATGGAGACTGAATCAGAAATAAACCTTTCAACAAAGACCAGATGGCTTCACTGATTAATTAAATCAAACATTTAAATAATTAATACCAATTCTTCTCAAACTGTTTCAAAAAATTTAAGAGGAGGGAACATTTCTACACACCTTCGCAAAGCCAGCATTACCCTGATACCAAAGCCAGGCAATAATTCTAGATAGATGATAGATAGATAGATAGATAGATAGATATAGTTTGTCTCTCTTGACCTATTTATCTATGTGTATATAGAGCAGCTAATATTCTTATTTAACATAGATGCAAAACTCCTCAGCAAAATACTAGCATACAGAATGCAACAGCACATTTAAGTTATTATATACCACAAACAAGTGGAATTTATCCCTGGGATGCAAGGATGGTTCAACATAAGCAGATCACTATATGTGATACAACACATTGTCACAATAAAAGATAAAACTACATCATCATCTCAACAGATTCTGAAAAAAAAAAAAGACAGAATTCAGCACTCACTGATGATAAAAACCATCAACAAACTAAGAATAGAAGGATATTACTTCAATGTGATAAAGTACATGTATTAAATGCCCACAGCTAACATAACATTTAACGGTGAAACAAAGAGCTTTTCCTCTAAGATTATGAACAAGGCAAAGATGCTCACTCTATTTGTATTCAACATAGTACTGGAAGTCCTAGTAAAAGTCATCTAAATAAGAAAGGAAGAAGTAAAACTGTTTTTGTTTGCAAGTGATATAATCTTAAATACAGACAACTCTGAAGACTCCATAAAAAAAACTGTTAGAACTAGTAAACCAATCGGCAAAGTTACAGAACAAAACTCAAAACATAAAAGTCAGTTTAGAAATTATAAACTAACAATAAACTATCAGAAAAAGAAATTAAGAAAATAATTCCTTTTACAATAACATCAAAGAAAAAATATATGAAAATAAATGTAACTAAGGAGGTGAAAGCTCATACACTGAAAACCAGATAACATTGATAAAAGAAATTAAAGAAAGCATAAACAAATGGAAAAACATTATTTGTTCATGGATTAGAAGATTTAATATGTTTAAAATGTAAATACTACCCACAGTGATGTACAGAGGCAATGAAATACCTATTAAAATCACAATGGCATTTTTTGCAGTAATAGAAAAATCAATTCTAAATTTTTTTTTGGAAAAGATGACAAGTAATCAAATCAATCTTGACAAGGAAGAACAAAACTGAAGGTATTACACATCCTGACTTTAAAGTATGTTAAAAAGCTACAATAATTAGAAGTATGTTACTGGCATAAAAACACACATAGGTGAATAAAACAGAATAGAGATACAAAAAATAAACCCATGTACATGTAGTCAACTGATGTTTGATAGCAGTGCCAAAAATATACAATGGTCAATAGACAGTTTCTTTAACAAATAGTGCTAGGAAAACTGCTATTCACTTGCAGCGTAATGAAATAAAATTCTTATGCCATACCCAGGAATCAACTCAAAACTGACTAAAGATTTAAATGTAAGTCTTGAAACTGTAGAACTCCTGAAAGAAAACATAGAGTAAAAGCTTCGTGATATTGGTCTTGGCAATGAATAAATAGACATGACACTAAAAGCACAGGCAACAAAAAGAAAAAAGTAAACAAGTGGGAGTAAATAAAGCCAAAACTTCTGTGCAGCAAAGGAAACAATCAACAGAGTGAAAAGGAAACCCACAGAATGAGAGTTAATACTTATAAACTATTTCTCTAATAAGGGGTTAATAACTAAAATATATAAGGAACTAACATAACTCAATACTAAAAAGTAAATAAAAAATAAAATTTAAAAAAACACACTAATAACTTGATTTAAAAATGGGCTAAAAACAAATGAGACATCTCATATAGTATAGCTCTGGCTCACATCTGGTGTGTACCCTTCTGGGACGAAGCTACCAGGGGAAGGAACAAGTAGCAATCTTTGTTGTTCTGCAGCCCCCGTAGGTGATTCCCAGGCAAGCAGTGTCTGAAGTGGACCTCCAGAAGTTCTGTAGCAGAGAGGCCTGACTGTTGGAAGGAAGACTAAAAATCAGAAAGGGATAGCTTCAACATCAACAGAAAGGACGTCCACTCAGAGACACCATCTGAAAGTCACCAACTTCAAAGACCAAAGGGAGATAAATCCATGAAGATGGGAAGAAACCAGTGCAAAAACACTGAAATCACTAAAAACCAGAACGCCTCTTCTCCTCTAAGGGAGCACAACTCCTCACCAGCAAGGGAACAAAACTGGATGGAGAATGAGTTTGACGAATTGACAGAAGCAGGCTTCTGAAGGTAGGTGATAACAAATTTCTCTAAGCTGAAGGAGCATGTTCTAACCCAATACAAAGAAACTAAAAACCTTGAAAAAAAAAAAAAGGTTAGATGAAATGATAACTAGAATAAATAGCTTAGAGAAGAACATAGCTTGACGGAGCTGAAAAACACAGCACGAGAACTTCGCAAAGCATACACGTTTCAACAGCTGAATTGATCAGCAGAAGGAAGAATATCAGAGATTGAAGATCAATGAATGACATAAAATGAGAAGGCAAGATTACAGAAAAAAAGTGAAAAGAAATGAACAAAGCCTCCAAGAATATGGGGTTATGTGAAAAGACCAAATCTACGTTTGATGTACCTGAATGTGATGGGGAGAATGAAACCATGTTGGAAAACAATCTTCAGGATATTACTCAGGAGAACTTCCCCAACCTAGCAAGGCAGGGCAACATTCAAATTCAGGAAATAGAGAACACACAAAGATATTCCTCAAGATGAACAACCCCAAGGCACAAAGTCATCATATTTACCAGAGTTGAAATGAAGGAAAAATGCTAAGGGCAGCCAGAGAGAAAATTGGGTTACCCACAAAGCAAAGCCCATCAAACTCACAGAAGATCTCTCAGCAGAAAATACAAGCCAGAATAGAGTTGGGGCTAATATTCAACATGCTTAAAGAAAAGAACTTTCAACCTAGAATTTCATATCCAGTCAAACTAGGCTTTATAAGTGAAGGAGAAATAAAATACTTTACAGACAACCAATTGCTGAGAGATTTCGTCACCACCAGGCCTGCCTCTCAAGAGCTCCTGAAGGAAGCACTAAACATGGAAAGGAACAACCAGTACCAGTGACTGCAAAAAGATACCAAATGGTAAGGATCATTGACACAATGAAGAAACTGCATCAAGTAATGGGCAACCAACCAGCTAGTATCAAAATGGCAGGATCAAATTTACATATAATATTAACCTTAAATGTGAATGGGCTAAATGCCCCAATCAAAAGACACAGACTGGCAAACTGGATAAAGCGTCAAAATCCATCAGTGTGCTGTATTCAGGAGCCCCATCTCATGTGCAAAGACACAGGCTCAAAATAAAGGGATGGAGGAAGATTTACCAAGCAAATGGAGAGCAAAAAAAAAAAGCAGGGCTTGCAATCCTACTGTCTGATAAAACAGACTTTAAACCAACAAAGATCAAAAGAGACAAAGAAGGGCATTACATAACAGCAAAATGATCAATGCAACAAGAAGAGATAAAATATATATGCACCCAATACAGAGCACCCAGATACATAAAGCAAGTTCTTAATGATCCACAAAGAGAATTAGAGTCTCACACAATAATAGTGGGAGACTTAAAACACTCCACTGTCAACATTAGGAAGATAAATGAGACAGAAAATTAACAAGGATATCCAGGACTTGAACTCAGATCTGGACCAAGCATACCTAATGGACACCTACGAAACTCTCCACCCCAAATCCACAGAGTATACATTCTTCTCAGCGCCACATGGCACTTACTCTAAAACTGACCACATAATTGGAAGTAAAGCACTCCTCAGC